TTACCGCAACAATAACAGCCAGTGGTGCTGAAAGTGGCGTTTTAACACTAATCAATTTATCAATAATAATAAAAATGAGCTGCTTGATACAATATGAAATTTTTTTGTACCTTCCATGTGTTCCCTAGACAAAACTCTTTATATTGTCTCCCTGCTGATATTTAACCATAGTAATAATTTAATATGCAAATAAACTAATAAACAGTTATACCAACAACCATTTCTTGCAGGAATGAGCACTCCGTTTTGTATACGAGAATTTTAGCAGCTCCTACGAGGACCTCTTACATAAAGCTAAGGTGCCCTCCTTGCAGATCAGATGGGTAAGAACAATGGCTCTAGAAACTTTCAAGATTATGAACAATATAGCTCCTGTGTGCTTACAAAATTTTGTGAGTGTCAAAAAATCTAAGTATTCTTTCAGGTATGTAAATATTCTGGATGTTCCAAAGGTAAAGTCAACCCGTTCCGGTAAAAAATCTTTCAAATTTGCTGCCGCAACTTTATGGAACAGCCTTCCAAACCATTTCAGGACTGAAAATAGTTTTTCACATTTTAAAAGTCTAGTTCAGTCCTGGAACAGTTTGGAATGTCGCTGTTCTGCTTGCAGATAACTCTTGAGCTGTTTATTATTTATGTTGCTTTTTGTTGCTTTGGACTAGTATTGATGTATTTCTTCGCGAATTTTTATATATTTAAATTTTAATTTCTGACACATATTTCCAGAAATTGGGTAATCAATTCATGTTGAAAATATTCTGTTCTTTGAAATTTCTAGTTCGTGAAGCATATACTTTAGTTCTAAACTTTTTTATTTGATTTTTATTAAAGTAATCAATTTATTTAAATAGTTACCATATTTTTAATCCAAATTTTAAACTTTTATATAGGTAAACAATGTTTTACTTCATTCTAAATCTGTTGCTTAATTTTTATTGCATGCTATGTGTGTGAGATATGTTTGACAATTTTAATTATTATATTAATGACCTCACTTATGCTTTAATTAATTGTAATTCTGATCCATTTGTAATTGGGGACTTTTCTTTAAATATTCTTCTTTATGCAGATGATATTGTCTTATTGTCTCAAAGTAAATAAATTGCTTCGCTGAATGCAGCTGTATACGACCGCAGATGTCCAACCCTGAAAAGTTGGGACCAAAATGGACACAATATTCATGCTTGATACAGGTCTGAATTTGGATTGTAATTAAATTTTTGACACAGAATAACTGTAGTCAAAGAACTTCTATTCAAATTGGTTATATGATTTGAATTTATATTCAATTTTTTGCTTTTGTGCAATACACTATGCGAATTGACCCCCCCAAAAAAAAATGTTACCCCGTTTTTTTGTGTTTGTGCAATACACTATGCTGTTGAATATAAACCCCCCAAAAAAAAATATTTGAAGAAATTTTCTTTTAATTTCTGAAATCTGAAATGAGAAAGATTGTCCCCCTCCAATATTTTTCACCTCCCCCGTTTCCCTTATTCCAAAAAATAATTCTTTCCATCAAGTTATGGTCAGTATCTCAGACAATCATCATTTCTTAATACATAATTTACAAGCAGTGTAAGGGAGGTAATCAAACATTGTTATTTAAATTAATTTGGATTTTGATTTGGATTACCTCCCTTACACTGCTTTTAAATTGTCTCAATTGTCCTTTAACCAGAAAAACCCTTGTTTTTCCCCTTTTTTTGCCCCTAATTCCTAATTGGTTTGAGCCATAACCCCCCAAAGTCAATCCTAACCATCCCTTTGTAGTATGGAAACTTGTGGTATAATTTCAGAGAGATTCATACACATTAACACAAGTTATTGTCTGGAAACTACAAAAATGCTTATTTGGGCCCCTTTTTTGGCCCCTAATTCCTATACAATTGGGACCATAACCCCCAAAATCAATCCCAACCTTCCTTTAGTGGTTATAAACCATGTGTTAAAATTTTATTGATTTCTTTTTACTTATACTAAAGTTATTATCCGGAAACCATCTGTCTTCGGACGATGCTGACGACGACGACAACGTGATACCAATATACTGTAAATTCAGAAATTATTGCGAGGTTTTTAGTATTGCAAATAATGCGACTGGGTGAGTATCGCAATAATAAGAACTCGCATTCTGATATCTGATGCATATATCTGTATGCAACTTTTCCTGAATTCGCAATTATTAATCTCGCATTTATGTCCATTTTTCAAAAATCGCAATAATAAATGAACGCAATAATTTCTGAATTTACAGTACCACCAAAAATTTTTTAATTTTTGCGGTCGTATAAAAAGGACTACAAAAGTCTTAATGCTTTATATGATTATTGTGACTGTTGGAAACTACAAGTTAAGACAGATAAGTCCAAAGTTATTGTATTTAATTCAAATGGTAAAACTTTTTTTGGATGAATTTACTTCAAATGATTCTTGTATTGAAACTGTTAGTCATTATTCTTATTTAGGTATTGTAATAAAATGTAATGGTAATTTCAATTTAGCCATTATTAATACTTTTATGGAAAAGACAAGAAAAGCTTATTTCAAAATAAAGAAAACTGTTGGTCTGAATAATCCATGTAGACTACTTGAAAAATTGTTTGATACATTAATATCACCTATACTTATGTACTGTTATGAAATTTGGGGTGTTTACTCATCCTTTAGGGACTCTGAACCCTTTGAAAAACTACACATTTATATGTGTTTCTTTATCATACATTGGCTAGAGGTATAGGGGGAGGGTTGAGATCTCACAAAACATGTTTAACCCTGCCGCATTTTTGCGCCTGTCCCAAGTCAGGAGCCTCTGGCCTTTGTTAGTCTAGTATGTTTTTTAATTTTAGTTCATTTATATGTTTTGGAGTTTAGTGTGACGTCCATTTTCACTGAACTAGCACACAATTTTATTTAGGGGCCAGCTGAGGACCACCTCCGGGTGCGGGAATTTCTCACTGCATTGAAGACCCATTGGTGGCCTTCAGCTGTTGTCTGCTCTTTGGTCGGGTTGTTGTCTCTTTGACATATTCCCCATTTCCATTCTCAATTTTACATTAAATTAATCAAGGAAGCACTTGGTGTTCATTGCAAGGTTTCAAATGATGCTTGTCGTGCTGGGCTTGGTCAAATTCCACTCAAAAATAAAATTGTATTTTCAAGCATAAATTTTTTAGAGCATATACTTTCATCAGAAAATACCCTTGTAAATCAAATTTTCTGTGCAACAAGGTTTTCAAACCCCTGGATCAAAAAAACTAAATGCATTTTACAAAAATTAGGATATATCTTGTAGAAAAAAGTTGTTTAACAAAGCAGCACTTGGGACAAGTAAAACAAAGAATTTATGATCAGTGTTTGCAAAATCAAAATGCAAACATACAGGAATCTTCTAAACTCAGTTTCTTTCGTCAAGTCTACAAAATGGGTCAAAGACCATCATATGTTGATTCAATAAACAATGTAAATGATAGAGCAGCAATATGCAAAATTAGCATAAGTGCACATTATTTAATGATTGAAAGGGGAAGACATCTTAACATTCCTAGCGAGGAAAGATACTGTCCTGTCTGTAACAAGAGTGCACACACAGAAATGTCTTGCCTACTATACTGACCATTGATTTTATGTTGATAGTCCTATATATAAAGTTTTACTACAAGTATCACATTAACATTTATGATCCAAGAAAATGAGGTCAAGGTCAGATAAACCAAGCCGGAAATACATGTACACCTTTAATACAATCCCTCCATACACAGAATATTGATGACCTATTGCTTATAGTATAAAAGAAACAGACCAAAGCATGGAAATTCTATATTGACCAATGAACCATGAAAATGAAGTCAAGGTCATTTGAACCCTGCCAGACAGACATGTACACATTAAAATCATTCCAAATATAGCTGACCTATTGCTTAAGGTATCTAAGAAAAAAGTTAATCAGGAAAACTGAACATTGACCAATCAACCATGAAAATGAGGTGAAGGTCAGATGATACCTGCCAGACAGACATATACACCTTACAATCATTCCATACACCAAATATTGCTTAAAGTGTAAGAAAAACAGACCAAAACACAAAAACTTAACATAAGCAATGAACCATGAAAACGAGGTCAAGGTCAAATAAAACCTGCCAGACTGACATGTACATCATTAAATATTTCCATACACCAAATATAGTTGACCTACTGCATACAGTATTAGGAAAACAGACCAAAACACAAAAATTTAACATTTAGCAATGAACCATGAAAACGAGGTCAAGGTCAAATAAAACCTGCCAGACTGACATGTACATCATTAAATATTTCCATACACCAAATATAGTTGACCTACTGCATACAGTTTAAGGAAAACCGACCAAAACACAAAAACTTAACATTTAGCAATGAACCTTGAAATGATGTCAAGGTCAAATAAAACATGCCAGACTGACATGTACATCGTAAAATATTTCCATACACCAAATATAGTTGACCTATATGTTTTTATATTCTGTCCTTAGAGCTTGTGTTGTATATTTAACTTATGCCGAATTAAAATAAATTTTTCTTATCTTATCTTCATTAGAATTTCTGTAATTCGCTGTAAAAAAAAGACCTCATTTGTACTTATAATTTTGTATGCCAGACAGGCCTTTTGTCTACAAAAACACTCATCAGTGACACTCGAATCAAAGCAGTTTAAACGTCAAATAAAATTAATAGTTAGTTAGCGTTGAATAAAGCATTGATGACCCAAAATTCTGAAAGGTTTGCCAAATACAGCTCAAACAATATCAGTTTAATGGTTTTGGTCATTGGGTCATTGGCTATCATGGGGCAGAAAAAAATGGTTAAAATAGACCTTGTCACTATTTTTGGAGCATGACAAAGTCTTTTATCATCACTGTTGAAGATGTTTAAATCCGGAAAAACGACCAGTATCCATTTTCTTTCTCAAATTACTCAATTCCGTTCTACAATTTATGTTGTCCAGTTTGTCAACTTACCGTCAGGATTCTTTTCACTAAAGCAATGAAAGGAATACTCGATTTCTATATTTTTAAGGTAATGTTTTACATCTTCTTCGTTACTCAAATCATACGAATAAGGAGTACTGGCACTTGTTGCCATTTTATATAATTGAACAAGTGCGACCTTGAGTTGTCGAAAGTTGAACTGTGATTTGCCACCAGATGGCAGTTCGCGCCAGAATAATCAAGTAGTAAGTATAACATTCAACAAATGTTGCATTTATTTCGATGACAGCATGCGTTGTTGGTTTTGACAATTATTTCAATAACAAGCTGTGTTTCCCACTTTCTTCTTCATACCTTTTAAACTGTTGACAGTGTCAGGGTGGTGTCAGATCGTTATTTTTAATGTTTGACAGTTGGCATGTTTACATCCCAGCGGCCATGTTTGTTATGTTTTCATTATTTGCAAGCCGAAAAAAAAAGTCCCAAAGTGATACGATGTGTAATTGTTCTCAATTATTGCCCAGTTTATGTTACCTGATTATTTTATTTATTGTCAACTGAATCTAACCAATCACTGAGTTTGGCATAAAGATGTATGATATTTCCAAAAAAGTGCTTTCTGTTTTGTCAAACCAGGTGCACATGTTGATTTCATCATATACAAAAATACACATAACGCAAGTCTATACATTCATGTGAATAAAGAATTTGCATATGAAATGTACTCGTTAGAATATAAAACTTTCATATTCAATATATTTTTGTTGATATTGAAGAAAAACTTCCTGGTATATGTGTAGGGAATTATAGCTATCTCGTATCATTGCAAACTCGTACCACTGAAAACAAACTTGTACCACTGCTAACTCGTACCACGGTAAATTCATACCATTTTTGTCGAGCCTTCGACTTTTGTCGAAAAAGCGAGACATAGCGATCCTACATTCCGTCGGCGTCGTCGTCGTCGTTGTCGTCGGCGGCGTCCACAAATATTCACTCTGTGGTTAAAGTTTTTGAAATTTTAATAACTTTCTTAAACTATCCTGGATTTCTACCAAACGTGGACAGAAGCTTGTTTATGATCATAAGATAGTATCCAGAAGTAAATTTTGTAAAAAAAAAATTCATTTTTTCCGTATTTTACTTATAAATGGACTTAGTTTTTCTGCCAGTTAACATTACATTCACTCTGTGGTTAAAGTTTTTGAAATTTTAATAACTTTCTTAAACTATCCTGGATTTCTACCAAACGTGGACAGAAGCTTGTTTATGATCATAAGATAGTATCCAGAAGTAAATTTTGTAAAAAAAAAAATTCATTTTTTCCGTATTTTACTTATAAATGGACTTAGTTTTTCTGCCAGTTAACATTACATTCACTCTGTGGTTAAAGTTTTTGAAATTTTAATAACTTTCTTAAACTATCCTGGATTTCTACCAAACTTGGAAAGAACCTTGTTTATGATCATAAGATAGTATCCAGAAGTAAATTTGGTAAAAAAAAAATTCCATTTTTTCCGTATTTTACTTATAAATGGACTTAGTTTTTCTGCCAGTTAACATTACATTCACTCTGTGGTTAAAGTTTTTAAAATTTTAACAACTTTCTTAAACTATCCTGGATTTGTACCAAACTTGGACAGAAGCTTGTTTATGATTAAAAGCTAGTATCTAGAAGGAAATTTTGTTCCATTTTTTCCGTGTTTTACTTATAAATGGACTTAGTTTTTTTTCCAGTTAACATTACATACAGTCTGCAGTTTAAGTTTTTAAAACATTTCCTGGATTTTTACCAAACTTGGACAGAAGCTACTTACAATCAAAAGATAGTATAGAGAGGAATATTTTTATTAATTTTTTTCCTCATTTTTGTTGAGCCTGTGATTAACAGCAAAAGTAGGCGAGACACTGGGTTCCGCGGAACCCTTACGAATTTTTAATTTGTATACTCGTACCAATTTATTTAAATGCATTCAAATGGTGTGTAAATAAGGAATTATATATACCAAGTGTAACGGTACTCTTTTCCTGGCACTGCTATTTTACTGCTTTTAATAATTTGGTTAGGATATATATGCATTCCTGATTTAAGGTACAGTCAATATTTACTTTTCAATTTGACAAAAACTGGGTCATGATCGTTCATTGGATGTAACCTTGTTTAACCATTCGAGACAATGTAAATAAAGCAATCAGCTGTCAACATGGTCAATGTACGTCCCTTGAGATGGGACATTATATTTGATCTAAAAAATTAGAAAACGGCTGCTGACTGACCTTTGGAATCACTAGAATGTATTTTTAATGGAACAAGTTTGCAGTGGTATGAGTTGTGAATGATACGACTTCAAAGTGGTACGAGTTTGCAGTGGTACGAGTTAACTTGCTTCCTGTGTAGGAATTATAATATGGCAAACACATGTACATATACCACCTTTTTTAACTAGATATAAAGTACATGAAGGAACCTGACAGGTCTACAGTCAATTCTGGTTAATTGCAAAGCCTATTTGTCAGACAAAATTATGCAATTAAGCGGCGTTTGCTTATATCCGAAATGCCAAATTATGGAGTCAAATAACATCGATAGTAAAGATCAGTAAAGGAAATCCCTGAAGTTGTGAAGAAAGATGAACGGCCATTATCCACTTACAACATATTGAATGTTGATTATTCTAATAAAAGTTTTATGTCTAGTGTCATTCTTGTTATTGTATTTTATATTCTTTCAATAAAGTTTATAAACACATTTTGTTTTAGTTTATTTGCCAACCGATGTCACCTTTACCTGGGATACAAAATTAGAACAAATTGTTCTAAAAATAGATTTGCTGCCTTTGATATGCAGTATTTACCGCTTGCACAGTGATGTAACACTGTTTCTTTAACCTCGTTAGTTTCGTTATGCAAAGCAGGAAACAGGTAAAGGGGCCATGCATGTACGGGTTATTTACTGGACACGAGTATTGAATGTGAGAAAATATAATAATTAGAAGTAAATGCTCTTTTCAAAAATCAATAAAAATAAATGATTGGCGTATAAAATTCTTCAACCATATATTAATGCCCTGTAATGTTTAACATAAATGCAAATCACCCCATGCCGAATTACGAGAGTACACATTGGATGGTCTTTCAAAGTTAATTAGCAAGCGTTATTGTTTTTAAAATTCACCCCAAATGTAATCTGTGGACAATGTTTGAAATCCAATCAATAAATACCACTTTTTGATTAAGAATGGTCCCAGACTACACGAAATTCGTCGGACCGTCGGACAAATCCGGTGAATAATGGATCGGTCTGGTAAAATTTTGTTGAATTCCAGTCTGAATGTCCGGTGTTGTTTTTTTTTCATGGATTTTTCAAGCATTCAAACAAAATTCCCAAACGATCTCAAAATTCATTTTTATCTTTAGTATTCATTACAGCAATGTTTATTTTGTTCAACCGCTAGCTTTATGCCGAAAATCACCAACAAGTAATGTGTAAATCCGAGTAAAAACATATCTGAATGACAAAAAAACAGACAATGGCTGCCATCAACCGGAAATGTAGACAATACCGGATCAGATTCCGGGAACGGATAAGGCTTATTCTGGGTTTGCCGATCAAATACAATAAATAAATTTAAAAAAACTAAGCAGGACACAAAATACAGCTATGAAATACAGTGTTCCAGCTAGGATTTGAAAATAGAGGGGCGCGTTTTTAAAAAAGGGCACTTTAGCGCGTTCTCCTGAAAAAAATCAAATACTTAATATTACCACATAATGACATATTTTTAGCAAGCATGTAGCTAAGTTAAATACTCTATACTATTACATACATTGAAAATTGTGTAGGTTTGGTTGTGAATTTAAATAAGAGTGCCAATGAGACAATTGTCTTTATTTCGATCTTGAGAAATAGATTGATTCAACAAATAAGTTTGTTAATTCAACTTTGAAAGTTTATTATCAATTCAACAAGCATCTCCGTAAATTTCATGTTGAGCGTATCTAATAATATCAATAATTTTGTCAAAACGGATTTCAATAAGAAAATTGATACAAAAATCGGACTTTCGAGAGCTCCGTAATCGGCACAATAATAAATTAATTCGACTTTGAAAGTTTATTATCAATTCAACATGCATATCCGTATATTTCATGTTGAGCGTATCTCATAATATCAATATTAAAGTTAGTCAAAACGGATTTCAATTTAAGAAAAATGTTATAAAAATCGGACTTTCGAGTGCTCCGTAATCGGTGGAATTTACAATAGAAGAACAATTGCGATATCTGATAAAAACCTTTCTTCTTCTCGATTTTTCATAAAGGTAAAGAATTAAATTATTTTTTAACCTTTGATGGTCATTATTCTTGAATAAAAAAGATGTAATAGACTGGCATGTCTTTGATATTTTCTTCTTGTCATTTTCTCGAGTTGGTCAATTTTTCTTTTTTTCGTCGGCATTTTGCGTGTTGACGATTTACAATATACTATTGGAATGATTCTTTTTTAATGAACGTTATTTTATGAATAACAATTACAATAGAAATGAACATCGTTCACTTTTATTTTATAAATTCTATTTTGCATCGTCAGGTGTTAAAAAATCAATTCATTTAACTTGGATGTTTGGTGCTTCAGGGCAAAGGGATTAGACAGGGTCGTAAATTTCACCTGATTAAGTAATTGACTCTTATCAAATAGGTGATTATAATACAGGTAACAAGTGTTAACAATTTTAATCTGTTGTCTTAATGAAGTGTGTGTATAAAGAACTCAACAAAATGGCGACAATATGAGGAAAAAAGATCGTTGTTTAAACTTTTTTCAAAAGGGCACAGAGGGGCGCAGGGGCGCTTAAAAAAGGCAGAGGGGCGCAAAATTTCGGGGGCGGGGCGCGGCGCCCCTCCATTTCATGCTAGCTGGAACACTGAAATATAAACACTAAAATTGAAAATCAAAAGATATATGAAAAAGAAAGAAGAAACAGGAAATATTTTATATAGAAACTCTAAATTATTTTTAGTTTACAAATAATTTTCATGTCATGTGACATTACTTTTCTTTATCACTGAAATGCATTCAAGCAATTGTGCACAACTTTCATCAAAATATACACTCTTATCACATGATTTTGTTTTTGTGCATTTTGGAGAGGAGTAGGCCACAAGAAGTCATAAGTTTGTTGTATTTTGTCGGATAACATACATTAAGATGTAAAAAAAAAATGGTCTGGTAAAATTTCATTCG